AGATCTAAACATGTGGATGTGAAATTTCATTTCATTAAAGATGTCATCTCACAAGGTGTTGTGAAACTTGAGAAAATTTCTACTCATTTTAATCCTGCTGATGTTGGAACTAGAGTGCTGCCTTTAAATAAGTTTTTGGACTGTTTAAAGCTGCTTAACATTGATACTTGCTGATTTGTATATCAGGTAATAAGAGCAAATGATGCCATAATGGAGAAATCACTTTAGATGAAACTGGGATCATTGTACCAAGGTGAAAATTGTAGAGAAAAAGTGGCGCAATGATAATTGGGCCTAGACTTTTGGGTTGATATGTGGATTGTTGGGCTGGACTTTATTACTTTGGAGACTTCTTTTGGAAGTAAAAATGGCAAGGGCTGGGCATATATACCTTCTACACGTGAAATTGGAAATTAGAACAGATTTCTCATTCTCTCAGTTCTCTCTCTCTCTACGCAACTCTTTGTTCATCTTCTGCCCTTTTGTGTTTGCACTTTGAAGCTTGAAATCTCTTGTAATCTTTAATAGTATAGTGACTATACATTCTAGAGTGAATTGTAGTGAGGCTATTGTATTCTTGTGTGGATTTCATTTGGATTCGAGAGGGCTTCGATGTTTGTGATGTTTCTTGCGTGATTCTCACTAAGTGCTTGGTTGTATTGATGAACGGTTCTTGATCCTTGTTTAATAAAGTGATTTCTTCCGATTGGCGGAAGCTCAAAATGGGAGTAGGATTTATTCCGAACCTCTTGCCTTAGGGCGAAAAACCTTGTGTTCTTTTACTGTTTCTTATTTTTCTTGTGCATTACTTTTGTTGTTCGTGAGTANGCCTTAGGGCGAAAATTCTCTCGTGTTCTTTATTATTTTCAGTTTCTTGCACTTTTCTCTTTGTTGATTGAATGTTTGATTTGGCTAATTTAGAGTATTGAATCTCTACAAGTTCAATTCTAAATTTTAGTGTAAACAGGGAAAATATATTCTTTGAAAGAGCTTTGGGATACCGAGTGTTTCAACCCTTCAAGTTCGAAATATAAAATTCTTTATGCTTCTGCAATATCTTGCATGGGCCTATTCCTATATGTAAGTGGAATTCCCTTTCTAGGCCATGTAAAAGAAGGTATTTATGGGGTTTCATTTCGCTATAAGCTATGGTGACCTATGCATAATTTAGTTTTCAAGTCATAATGTGAATTTCTGAATCAGTATTTCCAATGCTTCATTAAAATGTTTCTCCCTTGATGCAACCTAGACATTTCTCGTAGAGCAAATGAAAGAGTATAGAGCACAGATCTCGATTTAGTTTTTACGGTCATTCTAAAGAAGTAGTAGTGAGCAACAAGTCTCATTTATAAGAAACTAGTCAAAATAAAAAATGCACTGCACGATACTTTTAAATTTTTTTTATGCATCTTAAAAATGTTTTACTTTTTTATGTTTAGTCAATATAAATAAGGTAGATAAAGTGAATATTAAAGAGAAAATTGGAGATGCCTTTTATCTCTCCAACATCGTCACCCTGTCTTACATATCAAGAAAATAAGATGTCCTCTTCTTTTTTTTTTTTTTACGATGAGTCACTGCTGTTGATATTGTAAATATAAGCAAAATGGAAAAGAAGAGACCAAAAGGGACTAGAATTTCATACAATCAATTCATCTTATCATGCAAAATGAGAATACAAAGATTTAAGGATCTTGTTACGTATACATCAAGGTTGACATAAAAATTTACATAATACCATATGACACTCTATCATTTGTCAATTTAAAATATAATCAACTTTTTCATCCAATCATTTATCTCCAAATCATCTTCTGGCACTGCTTCTAGACATTGCCTTCTGTACAACCAGCATAATTCAATATATAAATAGTCTAATAACTAAGCAAAAGGTCTAAACTATTCTAACAAAACAAGTAAAATAACAATTCTAACCCTTTTAACCATGCTTGAAGTTGCTGTCACCTTTCCTCCTGGAGGTTCACTGGCAAACATTTTCAAGAATTGGGACTCTTCAATTACAAAGCATTAGTAGCAAAGCAAACAATGTAAATACTCTAACAATCACTCTTTCGATAGTTCCAACCTATAATAACTCGCACAGCATAGACCAATTTCCATCTCTCTTTAAAGTTTTACACAATCTTTTTAAATTTTTAGAGACAAGCTTAGATTAGATTAGATTAGATTAGATTTTATTATTATTATTATTTATTATTTATTATTTATTTTATTTATTTATTTTTTTTGGTTTTTTTGTAAAGCACCATCACAATCCCAAAGTGTTTTACAAATATTTAGCATTTGTAACACTTTAGAGGAAAATTAGATTATATTTTTGGATATTTGAAATATTGTTAATTTCTTGGTAAAACATTTGGATTTCTCAAATTCTTACGTTTAAGCATTGATATAATTAAAAGTTAAGGGTTCATTTGGTTTGTATTTCAATTTTTAATTTTGATGGTCTATTTTAAAATTACTAAAAAATGGATCTGGTTTATAATTCTGAGAAAATTGTTTATCAAAACAAAAAAAAATAAGAAAATACTTTTGGTTTGAAATTTGATAAATTATTTTAGTACATTTTATTATATGAAATTTGATTATTTAGTAAAATAGAAAAAATTATGTTAATATATTATGAAGCAATATATACATTTATTGTTGATGAATCTTGCAATTATTTTTCATGCAACAAAAGTAAAATTAAAATAAATAATATATTGAGTTGGCAAAACATAAATAAAAATTATTGGTGTGGATTGAGAATTTTTTCCGTGTTTATTTAAATATTTTTTAAATTTTAATATAAATAATCATTAAGAGCTCGAATTATTTTTATTTTTTATTCTTTACAATTGTTATTTTTAAAATTTTATGTTAATAATTATTAAAGGCTTGAACAATTTTTTTTTATTTTTTAACAATTTTTCTAGATTTATATTTTTTATTATAATATATTTTTTAGAATGTTAGATTTTATTTTTTCAAATTTTTCAAATTTTTAATTCTTCGAAATTTATTATATTTTAATTTTTTGAATTTTATTTTTATAGAATTTTAGAATTGTGTTTTTTTGGAATTTGGATTTTATTTTTTAGAATTCTATTTAGCCATCTTTGGCATCTTTAAAATTAAAAAAAAAAAAAACATTGTTTTGAATAATATTTTTTGAAGAATGTGATTAAAAAGTAGAATATTTAATTGTGTGAATTTGTAATTAAAAATAAGTATAAGAAATAAATTAAATTAAAGTAAAGTATGTCAAACATGTGCTTAAGTTTAAACGTTTACTTTCCTTGTTTTTAGTGTTTTTACTGATTCTATGTAATAGTTTAACTATATTTTGGAATCAAATAAGTTTTTAATTTTTGTAAAATTGAAAACAGCAAACAAATGCAGTAAGTTTCTTTTATCGAGCAAAATTCTTTCACAAAAATAAAAATCAGCCACAATCAAATTCGAAGGCCTAAAGCACTAAAGCCTACTTTACGCCAATTCTTCTCACAACAAGAAAGCAGCCACCGCTCCCCGAGGCACATTCAAGTTGATAAAGGATGGGCACTGCTGAGCTTGTAACCTTAGGGGGGAGTTCGATTCTTGGATGGAGCAGCCGAATGTTGTAATATTCAATTTGGGTGGAGTAACTTGATGATGTAATATCCATGGAGGAAGGCTCCCTTGGGATCAGGAGTATAAATGGTGCACGGACTCTGGTCAATTTGAGTGTATCTCGCGGTTAACCTCCATCCATCACTGAGGGGCCGATGATGGGTGGTTCAGGACATAGTCTGGTGTAAGATAGGATGTCTGGATATCAAAAAAAAAGCCACCACCAGCCCAATACATTTCCGTCCCTACACCCTTTTTTATTTTGAAACGGCGGAGGCACCGATCAAGAAATTTCCATCGTTGAGGCCAAAAACACACCCACACACAACTGTGTGTGGATAAGAGAGAGAAGGAGAAATAGAATTGCAAGCTTGATTTCATTTCGAATTAATTTGAGTTTCATTTCGCATTCCACTATTTCTATCTTTAAACTGCGGTCGTACATTGGAATATGTGTATAAGATACGTTAATATTTAATAAAAATATTTAATCATTTTTAGTGATAGGGTGACTACTGGATCTTATGAAATGGAAAGATTCCAAACAGAAAAGGATGAGAATATCTGAATCAATTTTTATATGAATTTCTAAAATTTAGATCTCGGATAATTAGGTTAGAAAATTAATTTATATTTTCTGGATTATTTGAAAATCAGATCGAAGTGCTAAGGGAATTTAGAAAGGAGAGGATTTGATTATATTTCAAGAAATTATTGGGAGAATGCCGGGTCCAGGGGATTTGGACAGGCAAATAGAGCAATTGATGGAGTGCAAGCCCCTGTCAGAGATGGAGGTGAAAAGTCTGTGCGATCAGGCGCGGGCTGTTCTAGTGGAGGAATGGAATGTGCAGCCGGTGAAATGTCCCATCACTGTCTGCGGTGACATCCATGGCCAGTTCTACGATCTGATCGAGCTCTTCCGGATAGGCGGCAATGCACCAGACACTAATTACCTATTCATGGGAGACTATGTCGGTGAGTATTTCTGAGCTTTTCCTGAAATTATCGGGGAAGAAAAGAGGTTTCTGATTTGTATTTGTTTTATACTGTCTACCTGGATGCTGGAATATTTTACTTGGTAAATCTTGGATTCACAATTGAGGTTGATGGTGATTTTGAAGGGTATTTTTGGAAGATGAGAATTGTTTATATCTACTTACTTTTTATGTTTTTGGTTGTAAGAGAACTTAGAGTTTTGATCTATTTAAAGCAGTGTGAATAGGCGTCAAATGTATTGCTTAAATTGGGTTTTGAGATCTGCTGCTTGAATTTGGGCAAATATGTGAACAAAATCTGAATTTGGCAGCTATATATGTTTACTTTTCCTTTGCATGGGAATTTGTTATTCAGCTTCTGGGCGCTGCATTATTTCCAGTCATCGGCTATCTGTACTTGGCCTCAAAATGGGATTTAGCGTTTTATGGTTGTATGTTTATGTTTGTCGTCTATTGACCAAGTATTTGGGCATGGCAGAGCTGCAGAGCATAATGTTCCAGTTATGGAGGGAAGGTTTGGTTTGGTTTACGTTGATTAGCATTCCCTGCTTTTGGAACGATGACTGACGTATAATCGTTGTTTGACGTATAATTGTTGATTTATGACATGGTTGACGTGTTGTTCTAAGTCAAATGATAAGATGGAAAGTTGATTTGTGTTTGAGGAAATTATGGCTGAAGACATGTATTCCTGTGAATGTGGCGCACAGTTAATTTTGGACAATGCTTTGATGGAACGTTAGCTGATTACATTCGATAAGAAAGACTGATTGTTTAGACATTCCATTTTCCCAACAATATTTGATATAAGGTTTGGATGCTGACTATACATGTTACCGATGGAGTAGATAAACTTGTTGCTTTCTGCATGCGCTTAGAAACAGGCTTTACTGCTGCTTTCGAATCTGTTTTTTCTGTAAAAAGGTTAGAAGTTTCGGGAAATACGCTGCCATACAAGTTTTTTCTATGACCTTTTCCCAATTAGAAAATGTTCTTCTCTCCATGTCATAAGATTCTTTTCTTTCCCCCTTTTACCTTTTCTCCTTTGGTTTTTTATTTTTTAAGATTAACCAATAAGTTTGGTGGCCTTGACAGAAACGCTGTCAATAATTGTCACGAAGTATTGGTTTATACCTGTCTAGAAATCGTAATTATCCAACGAAGTGTGCCCCAGAACTTCTGGTTTGCTATATTTGGTTTCCTCTGTGCTTTGATCGATACCTCTCTAGTTTGATTCATAATTTCGCGTGATAGTAAACTTTGTGCAATTTAAACCAATCGTTATGCATGTAAGTTTATTATCTTGCTAAGATGGTACTTCTACTAATAACATTCAATTAATAAAATGACATTTAATGCAGACCGTGGTTACTACTCAGTGGAGACTGTCACACTTTTAGTGGCTCTGAAAGTTCGTTATAGAGATCGAATCACTATTCTTAGAGGAAATCACGAAAGTCGTCAAATTACTCAAGTGTAAGACCCTATGCTATCTCCATTGTGCTGGTCATAAAAAAAAAGTGGTTTGACATAAATATTTGAAATTGAACAATTGCATAAAGTTTAAAATTCTGTGTCTTTAGATTTGCTAATGTTGAGATTCATTTACATATTTGCACCGCAGTTACGGATTTTATGATGAATGCTTGAGGAAGTATGGCAATGCCAACGTGTGGAAGTATTTCACCGATCTTTTTGATTATCTACCCCTGACAGCACTAATTGAGAGTCAGGTTTTGATTATAACTCTACACGCCTTTATAATTTGATAGACTAACCTGATTACTTCTAACCCTATATATTGTTTCCTTGTAGGTCTTCTGTTTGCA